TCAAAAATAAATAATTCTACTGACTTGTAAAAAGTTTTTACAGTTTAGCTGTCAATTTTACAAGTCAGTAGAGCCAGTAGCTTGTAAAAATCAATTTTCGCTGGTTATGTTTTGACTTGATAAGTGACGTTTTACAAATGAGTGACAAATATAGTATTTTACATTATTAGCCAGGTAAAACAGTTTTTACTGGTGATTGAAGGAAATGACTAGCGAGCCGTCAGGCAAGCTTGTCACCTTCAAGAGCCAGTAAAAACTGATACCTGGCGTATGATGTACAATAATTTATTTGTTACTCATTTGTAAACAATAAATAAAAAATTAATACATAAGGCGATTTCGCCTCAGTTTGGTATCCCAGTTCGGTCTGTCAAACAGGTACCATTCAATTTCGGATGGGTCAATGATGCTGTGACAACAACTTTGGTAGGCCCTTTGGTCTGTCAGATGCTGTACTGCGGTTTGACTGGGTAGTGGAGGTATGGTAGCTTTCTGTTTCTTCACTCACGTACCAATTGGTTAACCATTCGCCTACCAAACAGCAGATGAAAATCTGGGGCGAAATCGCCTATAGGTTATACAATTTTAATAAATAATTCTACTGACCCTACTGACTTGTAATAGTATATTACAATCCGAGACGGGAAATGCTTCATTACTGGTCGAGAGGTTTTATAACTGAACCTCGAGACAGCAATGAAGTTTCCCGTCGAGGGTTGTATACTATTTTATTTTTAACCATAATTTCTTGAAAAAAAAAAAATCGGGGCAACCAAATGAGGTCGGCAAATAAAGAGGAAAATGAGAACGGGAAATATTTCCCTGCTCCATTTTCCGTCCGTGGACGGGAAATGAGGACGGAAAAAATTTCCCGTCCTCACTTCCCGTCCTGGGACAGGTAATGGAGCAGGAAAATGAAAAGACAGAAATGTGACATTTTCAAATTTTTCAAAAGTCAGTAATGACAACATTTCATATATGGTTAAAAATAAAAAGTTTTTACAGTTTAGCTGTCAGTTTTACAAGTCAGTAGAGCCAGTAACTGGTAAAAATCAATTTTCGTTGTTTATGTTTTGACTTGATAAATGACGTTTTACAAATGAGTGACAAATAAAATTTTAATCTTAGGTGACTTCTGATCTAGAGAGTAAACATTAATATTCTTCAACCAAAGCCAAATTCACCATCGAAAAAAACTGAATTTAATTCAGCTAATAGATACGTTAACACAACATTTAATAGGTATTTAATAATTCCGAGGCGGTACGAAGTTCGCCGGGTCAGCTAGTGAGAATCATAAATGTAAGAATACTTCGATTCTAACCCGGTACCACCCTTAACTAAATATTATTCAGTGTTGCCAGAGGTAGTACAATTGTACCAAATTTGGTACCATTCGCTTTGAAAAAGTACGCTGGTACGACGTTAGCATATTTGGTACAATTTTCAATTATTTTTTTTTTCCAAATTCTCAAAGAGTCTTAGCCTACTACCTACAGTCTTAAGTCGATGTTCTAATTAATTTGTATTTCTGTATCTAAACCAGCGCTGTGTGGGCGGGCCTTTAGTTCCGGACAAAGGGATTTCGGCCCTTACCAGTTTAACGGTACTTTTGTTATCAATATTTAAGTGGGTACTACTTTATCAAATATTTGCTTTGTTTGGTTTTCATCGTAATTTAATAATTTTGCGTCTTGAATGGCATCCTACTTTATCTCACCCATTTGGGATTTTTGCAAACGTATACTACTTTATTGTTGTCTTTGTCTTACTCACATATAATTAACAATTAAACATTTTTTCATTAAAATTAAACTAAAAACAAGTTTCCAAGACTTTATTTGGGTAATTTATTGTTTTATAATCGTTATTACATATTTAATTATTCAATAGGTTTTAATTAAATTAAACCATTTAAAATGTCATTAATCTCATGCGGCAACGTCGCTTTTAGTCGGCCATTTTGCAGCGTTTTCGTTTTAATCCAGTTTTTCCTTGGATTTTCCATTTTTCCAGGGCGTTTTAAGTCGGAAAAACTGGTTTAAAATACGAGGCTTTGAGTTTCTTCATTTTGTGCAAAAAATTTCCAGTTTTCCAATAGGGTAAGTGACAAAAACTCAAGTCTCATCAAGTAGGTGCTGGAATGTTCTTTTTAGAGGTTTTTCTTTGGATTTTCTGCTTTTCCAAAGCTTCTCCAATTAGGAAAACCGATTTTAAATATGAGGCTTTAAGTTTTTTCCATTTTATACCAAAAATTTCCAGTTTTCCAATGAGGTAAGTGACTAAAACTTAAGTTTCATCAAGTAGGCTTTGGAATGTCCTATTTAGAAGTTTTTCTTCAAATTTTCTGTTTTTCCAGGGCTTCTTTGGTCAGAAAAACCGATTTTAATTACGAGGTTTTGAGTTTTCTTCATTTTCCAGCACAAATTTATATTTCTAAATGCAATAATTAGGAAAATCCCATTTAAATGCTTCTTCTGGAAGTTTTGATGTGGCAACATCGTTTGTAGCTAACTTCAATCATGTAAACCTTGTAATAAATGTCATTTGTCAATTGGGAAAGTCGACCATTTTGAGTGTTTTTATCTATGTTTTTTCTCGAAATTTCTGCTTTTCCAGGCCGTTTTAAAACGGAAAAACCGATTTAAAGTACGAGGATTTGAATTTCCTTCATTTTCAGCCAAAAAATTTCAGTTTTGAATTAAAATTAAGAACGCAAAAAGAAAATCAGTAAAAAACAACTTTTTAGGGAATTTATAATTTTTATTATTTTTTTTTGGTGGCAACACTGCTTTGTAGCCAACTTTACTCGGGTTCCAATCCAATAGGTCTTGGAATGTTATTTCTAAAGTGACATTTGAGAAAAAAGTATGGTCACCCCCACCCTATTATAAGCTAGTACATTTTTACTGAATCTGGTACAATTTGTCTTTAATTTTGATGCAAAAAAATTTTGCTCTTTGGCAACACTGATATTATTGTATAAAATAATAATAATGGTTGGTCATTTTATTCAAATTTGGACCCTAAGTGCGCGTTTATATTGACACCGCTCGAGCGGTGAGCGTTGCGCGATGCCGCTGTAGTGTTGCCCAAAAATAATTTTAACATTATATTTCAAATGACCAAGTTCACACTGAGGCGGCGTGTCGCGCCGTGTTAACATGTTCATTTGAAATATAATGTTAAAATTATTTTTGGGCATCGCTACAGCGGCATCGCGCAACGCTCACCGCTCGAGCGGTGTCAATGTGAACGCGCACTTATACTAGTCTATCTGCCCTTAAAACTCATATGCTCAACCGGCCAGTGAACTGAACATAGAAATGAGACATTACAATTATTAGGCAATGCTCAATAAAAAATATACAATATAAAATGACGTCGTTGAGTCTATCTGCTCTGAAAATTCATATGATCAACCGAACAGCGAATTAAACATAGAAATGGGACATTCCAACTAGGTAATGCTCAATTAAAAATATAAAACGACTTCGTTGAGTCTATCTACTCTGAAAAATCATATGCTCAGCGGAGCAGCGAACTGAACATAGAAATGAGACATTCCAATTGGGTAATGCTCAATAAAAAATATAACATTAAAGGTAAAATTTAAACGTAAAGAAACCTGTGGTCACTACTTCCAAGTCGAGGTGTCATCAACGACACTATCCATCAGGGACCATGAAAGTGACCTCAGAAGTAGGGTCACATGAAGTTTAGGGAAGCATGCCTCTTTAGTGGATGGGACCAATACTAGAATTGGATATAGGACCCTATCAGAAAACTAAATTAGAAAGAAAGAAAACTTGTCTGATAAGTTTATAATAAGACACAAAAGTACATGACTCACCCTCACAAGGGGCTCCTCGTATACCATGATTTGGTACACAATACAGGCACTGGCATCACCAGAGGTGATTGCAGATAAAGATAGGCTGGAGAAATAATTATAAACTCAAGTGATGTTCAAGATAAAAAAGGATTTGTCACATACCTGGCATGTTCCAAAAAAATCACAAAAAAAGTGACCGAGTCGACGAATAAAGCTATTTATTTATTTAATTAGCCATAACCAATCCGGACCACAAAGACAGAAATTTGAAGGATTGACCCCTTCAAGAAACTTTTAAGAAACTTTAGCACGTTCGCAAAAAATGAAAAGGGCTCGCTGACGTCAATGACGTCGACTTGCTTAACCAAACTGCTAAGAAAGAGTGGCTCGTTCTCAAGCAAGGTCGTGCGCAATTCAAATAATTGTCACTATTGACCTCCACGCACTTGCAGGATGAAGTTAGCCGAAAAGGTGACTTGAGCAACCGGAAGAATTGGTATTATTCGAAAGGATATAGAGCTGGGCGGAAATCATTGGATAGAGATGTTAGGTGCCACCTGAATGGAAGTAGTACTTACATAACAATCAGGTTGACTCCTAATTACAATCTAAACCTAAATTTAAATAGAAATAAGTAAACTTGTTTGAATTACATTACAATAATAAACATAAACAGCAAACAGCAATACCGGTGATTACAATTAAAAACACCTAAAATATAATAAATTTACATACTCAAAATAATAATAAAATGACAAAGTAGCTTAATTGCTACAGTTCATTTTACTCTAATTTTCTTTGGGTTTCCAAGATGCAAACACGTGATTCAAATTCGAAAAACCTTATCACCTTCCGTGCATAAGTGAATTGATCTGAGTTCTTTCTCCGAAGGTCAAGATTGGTGATCCTTGTGATCGGGTTGATCCGATCATAGTTTACGTAAAATCCTATTGATGTATTGTCACCAAGGAAACAATCTTAACTTTTTCATAACCTCAATTTGCGTTTTATTATTTGTTGTTTAAAATATTTTGCATCTAAGATTGAGTTATGTGTTATTTGTTATCGCCCTCAGCTTAGATAAAAACATTTAATATAATATAATAAAGTATATTTTAGAAACGAGTAATATCCATCTTCTACATATATTTTTTTCTTTGTTTCCAGGTTCGGACTTTATTCGTAAGCGGACTCCCAATGGATGCCAAGCCTCGAGAATTATATCTTCTATTTAGGGCGTATGAGGTATGTCTACATCAATTTTTATTAGGGCCATATAAAAAGAAAAAGGAACATGTTTTCTTTCATATAAACTCATCACGCATGAGTTATTTGAACCATGCTCTTTTGGTATTGATAAAAACATGATATTTTTTCCAATAAAATTTGTTTTCCAATAAAATAGGACAACATTCCATTAAAGGAATCTAAATAAAAAACGTATAACGATGTGTGTTTTCTGCAAATACTCCATTATTTATTGGCAGTTTACACCTCTGGGTTTTGTTGGTAAATGTGTGAGTCGATTTTGCAAACTAATCGTCGAAGCTGTAAATAACGAATTCTGAAAATGTTATTTTTTGAAAGCACGCAATATGGAAATTGGGTCGTTTCAAAATAAGGTTAAAGGCTACATTGAGTTTTACGTTTGGGATTAACTTTTTTCAATTGTCTGCTTGAAATTGAGTTAGCTTTAAATTATTTATCTTATATAATTTTTTTTTAAAAATGCTGTCTAAGCAATCAACGATTAGGGGAAATTTCTTTATGGTAAAATTGATAATATGCTGCCTACTTTTTTCTCTTCAACCTCCAATTTTTTTCAATAATATGGGCAGATCAATAAAATTCTTCACTAGATGTCACTAACAAGTATTTATAAATTAATTATAAATAGAAATATGTCATGAAACTAACAATAATTTAAGGTAAAATACAATACAATAAATTATTGTGAAGGCATAGAGCATATGTTTACGAAATTTCTTACACCATACTTCCGGACAAAACATATCACCAAATGCAAGCAACAAGTTGGTAATTTCAGAGACGAAACTTTAGTACAAATGTTAAAAGGTTAATCTTCTTAAGAGCTTAAAATGTATGAACCATATAATAAATATTCCCCTTAAGGATTGAGAAATGTGAATTAAAACTCAGATCCTCTTAACTTCAACTTTACCATAATATAAAATTTTCGCACAAATTTGCAGAATGTGATCTAACAATAAATATTATATTATTCATTGTAACGAATAATCTATATATATAAAAATCAAAGTTCACGGGGTATCCGGATATGCGCTCCAAAACCACTTATCCGATTACGATGAAACTTTGGTAGGTTGTTATGGCCATCCCAAGGAAGGTTTATGGATAGGTTACGCATCTCGGAAAAAGAAATTAATTTTGAATAAATTACTAATTTAATTATAAACAAACTCATTCACATTACATAACAACATAACCCAACTTTTTTTGACAGCATGAAACAACGTTGCCATATTTCATTTATTTAGGCTTGCATTCAACCGACGTAACTTTATTATTTTTTGAATTCAAGAACGGCTGGACCGATCTTGAATTAATACCACGTATCTCTATATAAGGTGAATTCGATTGACCCAGATTAGATCGATTTGGGTTCAATTTAAGTGAACTTCTTCTGATCTAGATAATTTTTTTGTTGATGAGGGTGCACTGATCCAGCTTGAATCGAACACAGTGTGGTTCACTTAAATTGAACCAGATCGATCTAATCCGGTCAATCGAATCGGCTATAGAGGAGAGTGATATAGGCTATTTTTTATCCCGAAAAAAAAGTTCGGTTGCGTAAAACTCTGATACATTGGAACGCCTATAAACAGCCCGGGGCGCTCTACAGCAGCTCTGGAGTGCTTAAAATGCGTCACTGAACTCACTGGCAAGCGACTATGATATCGGATTTAAAAAAAAATAAATTAAATAGAAAATCAACAACAAAATTTGAAAAGAAGTGTATTATTTCAAAATGTATTTACATGCTGGCAACGCAGCGGGTCATTAGCTAGTATTAAATAAAACCCAACTTGAACCTTTCTTTACTGAGAATGTCTGCAATTTATATGTTATAGCTGACATATCCGAATCCGACAAAATAAAATTCAAGTTACAAGTCTTCCTCTGGTATCATTTTACGGACCTTTCCTTTATTGCCTTTTTTTTAACAAATGCAGCCGAAACCTAGCACGTGCACGTAATAAAATCCAAAAGTCGAGAATCACTGGAAAATAGTCTAATATTACATTGCATATCGGTGTTAGAATTATCTATATCCTTATAGGTATTCGAGAAATGCAATTTTGTGTTGGTATAAATTAAAACGGATCTAGTTGGCCAAATCCGAAAATAAAATGTCTACAAATCAGATTCAGGAGAGCTCTAGTGGCAGTCTAGAAGAGATCAGAATCAAGAAAATATGAAAGGGTAAACTAAAAGTTGCAAATAAAAACTAACAAAAGGAAGATAGTATTCTGAGAGTCCGGTCCTGCCGTTGAAAAATCCGATTCTAGTCATTTTTGAAGAAGTTAAATATTGCAAAAGCCCACCACTAATTCTACTACAGAAAATTAATCATCGTTTGACTGTAAGTTATAGAATTTCTTGCATATTGACTGTATTAAGTAGCCAAAACAACATCGGCGCGTGCACGAAAAGTGCGCGCGCGGCCCGACCTAACCTTGTAAAGACAAGCTAATCGTCGATTTACTACGCAAATACAGAAACGAAGTAGGAATTTGCTAGATCATAGAATCATATAATCATAACCAAAATGAGTGATAAAGGCGAAGGCGCGTCTGACTACAGAAATGCCAATCAAGTTTCTCATCAAAATCCAAACCCATCACACACCCAACTTCTCCAACAAAAATCATACTCATCTGTATTATCTCAAAACTCGTTTCCTATCAAGGAACAAGCAGTCTTGTTAGGTGCTCTGGATGGATCTTTTATACAGGAGTATATTTTCTCCCTCGGCTCCATAATAGGCCCAAAAAACATCTCGTTCGCATCTAGAATTTCTAATAACATAATTTGTGTATATTTATCAAGCAAAGAAAAAGTGGATCACTATCTAACCAACTATGGTACCATAAGTATAAATGGACAATCTCTTAAAGCCAGACGCCTCATTTCTCCTGCTCAACGTATAGTCCTCTCGAACGTATGTCCAACTATCCCTCATGCAATGTCCGAAAATCAGCTGAAGAAACTTGGCCTAAATCTGGTCTCACCAATTACATTTTTACGGATAGTAGTCAATAATCCAGAATATAGTCATATCCTAAGCTTCCGGAGGCAAGTCTACGTTGCGCCACCTGAAGACCTCGAAGTACCAAGTTCTATACTCATCACTCAGGACAACACTTCCTACCAAATATTTCTCTCCCCAGATGGCATGTCATGCTTCGAATGTAAGCAAAGTGGACATATTGCCTCCCAATGTCCAAATAAAAGTAACCAAGAGCCAGATAACACAGAACCATCATCAGGTAACCCATCTACCTCAAAAACCACGTCAGCAGATACAGAAAATGCCTTTTCCGATGTCCAGTCGACTAAAAGGAACATCACTGAAATTGTCACACCACCAGCAGAAATACAACTTGACCATAACTTTATAAAACCCACTACACAGCCTATTAAAAAAGCAAAACAATCACCAAACCTTCATGCACAAATATGTGAACAACTAGAACCTGCCAAGAAATTTATAGAAGAACATGATCCACCTTACATAATCCCATATGAACAATTGATTGATTTTTTCGAAAACACACATGGCTCACTAGATATCGTACAAGTTACCCTAAATTACACTCAAAACTTGGAAACGCTGCAAAAGATGATCACAGATATCCTAGAATTGTATCTAGGAGCCCTAAAACAAGGTCGAGAACAAGGTCTACCAAAATAAAAAAGATACCAAGTCAACATTTAAACCATGCGACTACTGATATAGAGAACGATTCATCTCGGGACACTTACTAATAACACAACACTACACCCTCTAGCAATGAATACATTGTACTCTCCAATTATACAACGGAACATAAACGGCTACCTATCCCATCTAGAGCTATTGCAACTTCTTATCCACGATGAAAACCCCTCAATAATTGCCTTACAAGAAACACATTTTCGAGATGATAAGCTTCTCTGCCCCAAAAAGTTTAGAGGATTTTATCGTAACAGAACAAATGGAGACAGAGAAACTGGTGGGGTAGCAATATTCACTAAGGAGGAATTGGAGGCAGTGAACGTTCCCCTTACCACCAATCTGGAAGCCGTCGCAGCCTCTATACCACTACCACAACCTCTGACAATATGCAATATATATTCCACCCGATCGAGAATTCAACAAACAAGAAATCTGCGACTTACTTAAACAAATATCTTCTCCACGCATAATAATGGGACATTTTAACAGCCAGAACCTAATTTGGGGAAGCCCAAGCAACAACAAAAAAGGTAAAATCCTAGAAGAATCTATCGACTCAGAAAATTTGATTTTACTAAACGATGGCTCCTCTACACGTTTCAACTCGTTCACCGGCAACTTTTCTGTACTCGACCTGAGCCTTTGTGATCCAAATGTTGCAACAACGCTATCTTGGCTCTTGGCAAGTACTACTTTCACTATATGGAAGTGACCATTATCCAATTAAAGTTTTCTCGTCAGAAAATAAAAGTGAAACAGGACCTCGCCAGAAGTGGAACCTTAAACATGCTAACTGGGGCCATTTTAAAAAAATAATTGAAAACAACATGAGCAAAATGAAATTAGAAACTGACATTGATCAAACCCTTCACAACTTCAATCAAATAATTCATGACGCTGCTAACCAATCAATGGGGAAAATATCTAACCAATTAGCAAAAAAGCCATTTCCATGGTGGAACGAAGCCTGTAAACTGGCAATAAAGGAAAGCTTTCAATAAATTTAAAAAACAAAAAAAACCCAAGAAAATTTTCTATCTTTCAAACGACAGAGGAAAAGCACGCTTCACAATTAAGAAAAGTAAAAAAGATTCTTGGTCCCAATATGTGTCGAGCATTACCCCAAATACCCCTTCTTCTGAGGTATGGAACAAAATTAAACGAATTTCTGGGAAAAACCCATACTCTCCAATTCCTTATCTATGCACTAACAATGATATCATAACAGATAACCAAAGCATAGCAAATACTCTAAAAACACATA